CCCGGCAACTGTTCACAGCCCGTGGAGCCGAGGCCTCAGTGCCAGGGGTCAGTGGTGGCCTTGGCAGGGCTGGGAATGGTTGGGCTGGATGAGCTTGAAGGTCTTTTCCCACCCCACTGATTCTATGGTTCCTCACCCCTTGGGGTCATCCTCTCAGTGTGCGGCGCCGTCGGGAGCTCAGGGCTGGGGGTTTCCGGAGCTAGAGCCGGGTCCCCTTTGGGAAGACCAACATGGAGACACCATCAACAGCAGCTCCCCCACACTGGTTACGGAGGTATTCCGCCTCCCCGCTCCCCATCACATCCCAGTTCCAAGCGAGGGCTTACGGATGCACTGGAGCGTGGTGTGGGTCCAGTCGGGCTCGCTGGAGTCATCCCGGAGGATGCACTGGATGAGGCTGGAGGTGCCAGCTTTGCGCTTGTAGCCGGGGTTGCAGGTGTAGCGCAGGCGGGTGTGGAGCAGGGTGTTGTTGCCCACATCGATGTGAGCATTGGCCACGTCCTTGGGGTGGCTGCACCGCATTGGCACTGGAGGGGAGGGAAGAAACAAAGAGATGGGGGTCACAACAGGGAGATTGGGCACCCTCTGGCCCTGGATCGCTGTGCTGAATAGCACCCAAGGGGGTCAAATCCTGCCCGGGGGGGAGGGGGGGTTGAGAAGTTGGTGCTGCCCTGGGGTTGGGAGAGCCTCATCCAGCCTGCAAAAAGACAGTGTGAGATGGCTGTGCTTGTGCACAGGGGATGGAGAAGGGAAAAGCTCCATTTCCAGCATGTTTGCAGACACTTTTTAGTTGGAAGTACATAAAAGGAAGACCCCAGAGGTGAGGTACTCTCAAACATCTGAGGCCCTGGTGTTTTCCTTGGATTTCTTCTGTATTTGCTGCGTTCCGTTTTGAGTGGTCCTGCTGTGTCACATTAACCTTGCTGAAAACAGGCATTGTGTAAAAAGGGAGTGAGTCAAGTGATGGGGAGCTCTGGAGAGATGTGGATCATGGTATTGCACTCACAGGCATGTTGCAGAAAGGAAAACAAAAGAACAAGGGTGAATGAGTCTAATTCAGGGTCTGGGTCATGTTTGGCTCTGTCAAAGGTATTGGAGTTGGCACAGGGTGCCCAGAGAAGCTGTGGCTGCCCCATCCCTGGCAGTGTTCAAGGCCAGGTTGGACACAGGGGCTTGGAGCAACCTGCTCTAGTGGAAGGTGTCCCTGCCCGGGGCAGGGGTTGGAGCTGGAGGAGCTTTGAGGTCCCTTCAACCCAAACCATTCTATGATTCTATCCACTTGTAGCAGCTCCTCTGATCACTAAAGGCTTCTCCCAGCCCTTCATCCCCCCGCAGTGACCATCCGGGCTCCATCCCACCACCAGCTGCTGTGTTCTGGCTGCATTCACCACCCTCTTTTTCCTCTGTTTATTTTGCAGCTGGATGTGAAAACTTCCAAGTGCTCTGTGAGTTCTCCAGCCGCTTCCCAGCATTTTTCCCACTGGAGCTTGCAGCCCATGGCCCAGGAGGCAGCTGAAACATGAGTGTCATCACATGGCTGGGCAATGGGGCTGTGATAGGCAGCAAGTTCTGGCTTTTCCTCTCCCAGAAGGGTTTGTACTTCCCATGTGGCTTTGATTTGAGGTTGGTTTCGCAAGAGGATGTTACAAGTTCACTTCTTTTCCTGGCACGATGGAGAAAGTTTCTTGGTTACCCAGAGATTACCACATGTGGACAGCTGCTGCCAGCTCCTGTCCCCTGACACGACATTCCAGTACCGGGACGGAGCGATGCATGGCTGGGATAAAGCAATATGCAGCCAGGATGGAGTGGTCCAGAGCTAGGATGGAGTGGTCCAGAGCTGGGGTGGAGTGATGCGTGGCTGGGATAAAGCAATATACAGCCAGGATGGAGTGGTCTGTAGCTAGGATGCGTGGCTGGGATGATGTCCATTTAGTATGGAGGGATGCTTGGTTGGGCTGGGATAAGGAATGGGATGATGATGGGAGCACAGTGGGAACAGGACTGCAGTGGCAGTAAGGATTGGAATGCAGTGGTGATGAGGACAGGAGCGTGACGGCAGAGGGATGGGAGCACAATGGGGGTGGGAACAGGACCACAATGTGCTCCCCCAGGAACCCAAACCACCCAGAGATTAAAATCTCCTTAATCCTAAAGATCTCCTGCCCCAATTTGTTATATATCCCCAGGGCATCCTGGGGGGAATCTAATCAGTGCTTTGGTGGGCCTGTGTAGGGTCACCTGGCATGGGGACACCCCAAAGAGTTGCATTAGGGAGGGCATGAGTGAGGCTGTTTCACAACCTCTTCACATGTTGCCAAGCCTGAAGCCGTGCCATAACGTGAACGAAAAGCTCTTCCAGTACCAAGGCAACTCACAGCCACGTCCACAAAGGAAGCACAGAGGGAATTCCAGCTGGAAGCAGCAACAGCATCCAGGAAAAACAGTGACCTGCGACTCCTGCTTACGCCTTTCAGCATCATCCCAACCCCACCAAAGCACTTTCTTTCTGGTTGATTTGGCGGTAAAATGATCTCCTCTTCCCAAAAATGCCCCAAATGATCATCATAATCTTGATGATAAGACCACCCTGTCTCTGCTCTCCAGGACTGCTGCACTGATTTCAGGTTGTTTCATGAGATGAAACACATGCCAAGGAGGGAAAAGGGGGGAAATCTTTGGGAATTCCAGTTCCCAGCACTGCTGCAGCCCCGGTTGGTGTGCAGCCAAGATTTAGGCTTTCTATTATATCTCAGCAGTGAATTGGAAAGGGTGTAAAATGTGAACGGATGGGGAGAGCCATGGTTGGCTTTGTGGGGCTGCAAGGATCAGAATCATAGGATGGTTTGGGTTGAAGGGAGCTTAAAGCTCCTCCAGCTCCAACCCCTGCCACAGGTAGGGACACCTTCCACTAGAGCAGGTTGCTCCAAGCCCCTGTGTCCAACCTGGCCTTGAACACTGCCAGGGATGGGGCAGCCACAACTTCTCTGGGCACCCTGTGCCAGCGCCTCAGCACCCTCACAGGGAAGAGCTTCTGCCCAAGAGCTCATCTCAGTCTCCCCTCTGGCAGGTTCAAGCCATCCCCCTTGTCCTGTCCCTCCATCCCTTGCCCAAAGCCCCTCTCCAGGTCTCCTGGAGCCCCTTTAGGCACTGGAGCTGCTCTAAGGTGTCCCCTTCAGGAGCCTTCTCTTCTCCAGCTGCCCCAGCCCAGCTCTCTCAGCCTGGCTCCAGAGCAGAGCTGCTCCAGCCCTCGCAGCAGCTCCGGGGCCTCCTCTGGCCTCGCTCCAGCAGCTCCACGTCCCTCTTGTGTTGGGGCTTTAAATTCAGTTGATGGATTCAACTGAATTAAAAGCAATGAACACTATTTTTGTTCTCCAACTCCCCAGATAACCACATTTTCAGCCCCAAGACAGTCCCAATTGCATCACCACTGCCAGGAACATTGCCTGCAGGTCTGGGAGGGAGCCGTTGGAGGGTATTGCCTTCAGAGAAAGCTATTTTTAGCCTGTTCCAGTGTACACCCCTGGCAGTGAACGCAGTTCTTCTCCCTTATTTTTTGCTGCTGGAGTAATTTTAGAACCCTGCCTGCACCTGGCTGTTGAGAAATAGATTTATATTCTAGAGCACTGAGGCTTTGGCAGCTTCATGCTCCATTCCAGCCTTATTTCCTGGGCTTCCACACAAATCCTTCGAAATTCCCATATTTTCAGCTCATTAAGTGGTTCCTAAATGGTCTTTCCAGCAGCACCAGTGACTCTCTGGGGCTGTTGGCATCCTCCGCTGTCTGCACTGAGCTGTGATGGTGTTTCCCAAAGCTGCTGTGTCCAAAGACAGTGAAGAGTACCAGATAGCTCGTGCAGGGCCTGGAGCACAAGTGTGATGGGGAAGGGCTGAGGGACCTGGGGGGTTTAGTGTGGAGAAGAGAAGGCTCAGGGGGGACCTGATCGCTCTCTGCAACTGCCTGACAGGAGGATGGAGCCAGGAGGGGGCTGGTCTCTGCTCCCAAGGAACAAGGGATGGCACAAGAGGAACCGGCCTCAAGCTGCCCCAGGGCAGGTTTAGCTGGAGCTGAGGAACAATTCCTTGCCCAGAGGGTGCTCAGGCATTGGAACAGGCTGCCCAGGGCAGGGCTGGAGTCACCACCACTGGATGGGTTTAAAGGGCTTGTGGATGTGGCACTTGGGGACATGGATTAGTGGCGGGCTGGGCAGTGCTGGGTTAGCAGCTGGACTCGATGATCTTAAGGGTCTTCTCCAACCTAAATGACTCCATGACTCCACAATGCCATGATCCTGTGCTTTCGGAGCAGCACGACATGATGTGTCATTCCCACCCAGCGGCAATGCTCAGCCATGGACACCTCACAGAACCCACAGAAACCCACAGAGCCCACCAGGGTGACATCCCTCCGTGATGCAGCTCCTGTAGGTGCATCACATGGACCCTAAAAATCACCTGGGCACTGGCGGGCAGGTGGCAGGAGCTCCCAGGGAGATGCAAGGGGAACACATGGGTGCAGACTGGGCACCCTTGGGCGAGTGTAGGCACGCAAGGGTGGGTTGCGGGGTAGCTAGAGAGAAGCATGGGCATGCAAGGACCGGCGTGGG